ATAATGAATATTTAAATAAGGGATGTTTAAAATACTCTATTCCACATCAAAAATGAGAAAAGAAAATTCTCACAATTCAACAACTAAAAGCAAAGAATAAGCTAATAGTTGAAGAACAAATACTTTTAAGCGAAGGGACGGGATTAGTCTCCCCTGAGCAAGGAACAATAGACACAAGTTCTATTAATACTTAATTAACTACTTTTTATTTTGTATTTTTGTGTTTATTTTATTTCTTATTTTTATGTTTATTTTATTCTTATTTATCATATTTATTATTTATATATGTTATATTTGATTTTATTAATTATATTAATTAATAATTTATTAATATAAATATTATGTTTATTATTTTATTATTTATTTATTTGTATTATTTATTTTATCTTTTATTATTATTCTTTTATTATTTTATGTTTATTATATTTTATTTTTTTATTTCTTTTTCTATGTATGTTTTTATTATTTTTATTTATTATATATATTTCTTTTTGAATTTATTCTTATTCTATTATTATTTATATTTTTATTTATTTTATTTATTCGATTGTTTAATAAAAAAATGTATTCATTTTTATTATTTGTTTATTATTATTATTTATTTTTATTTATATATTAATTTGATTATTATATTTGTATTATATCATTTTTATATTTATTATTATTTATATTTTGTATTATTATTTATTTATTATTATCATTTTATTTTTATTTATCATTTTATATTATATTATTCATTATTTCATGAATTTAATATTTATTATGAAATCATTTATTAATCATTTCATTTTATAATGATATATTATTTAAATTATTTTGTTATATCACATTGATTATTTAATATTTAATGATATAATTTAATGATATAAGATTAATATAATAGATATAAATAAAATGATGAATATTGAAACAATCATTTAAAATCAAAAATAAATAATAAGAAATAAGAATATGATATAAATAATAAATAATAAAGAAAAGAAAGATAATAAAAGAAATAAATAATAAATATAAATCAAATGATAATAATAAAATCAAATAATAAATAAATGATAAATAAATAAGAATAATCAAAAATATATTAATAATAAAAATTAAAATTAAATCAAATCAAAATAATCAAAACAAGAAATGAAAATAAGAATCAAATGAAAATAAATAAAATAGAAAAATAAGAAATAAAGAAATAATAAGAATAAAGAAGAATAATAAGAAAGAAAAGAAATATAAATAATAATAATAATAAATTAAAATAAAATAAGAAATGAAAACATAATAATAATGATAAATAATAAAAATATGAAAGAATAAAGATAATAATAATATAAAATGATGATATTAAAGAAATTATTAAAATATAAAATAAAGATAAAAGAAAACAATAAAATATAAAATAAATTCATTTTAATTTAAATCATTTAAATAATTAAACAATAAAATTATTTTATAATAATGAAATATTTCATAAATATAATAAAAATGAACAAATAAAAGAATAGAGAAAAATAAATAAAAGAATAATAAATAATAAATTAAAATAATCAATATATTAAAAAGAAAAAAGATACTTAATAATATATATAAATAAAAATCATAAAAATAAAAAAGAATAAAATAAATTGCATAAATAAAATAATGATAAATAATTTGCATCAATAAATTAAACACCTTTTTATTTCATATTTCTAATTTCTATAATAAAAAATACATCCATTATTTCATCATTATTTTCATCATTTATTATCTCATTTTGAATTATTCATTTTTATCTTCTTTCATTTTATATTCTCAACTTTCTACTTTTATTCTTTTCATCTTCTTCTACTTCTTAATTTCACTTTTTTTTTCATGTCCTTCTTTTTCATCATTTCTCTTCCTTTTTCTCTTATTTCCTTTTTTCGTAGCCATTATTTAGTTATTATTATTCTTTTATTGTGGAGATTAGTAATTACAAGTTATTTAAATAATAGAGATAATAAATTAACATTTAATAAATATATTAATTACGTAAATAAATCAGTATTAATAAATTTAATTATCAATTGATTAATAAGATATAAATATTTTATAATTAATACATCATTACGTAATTAATGATTTGTAATAATAATTAAACTAAATGAGTACGGTTTGTTTATAATCATTTACACTTTATTTATTATTACCAATTCATTTTAAACCAAATTAAAATAATGGATTAAATTATTATATCAATATTTTACTATCTTATTATCTTCTTATTATTTTCTTATTCTATTATGTTTAATATTATTTTCTAGTCATTGTATTATATTAAATTCTATTTAGTAATGATTATTCAATAAAAGTTATTGAACAACAAAAATTATGTTTATTATTTTTATTATCATTAATATATTATTATAAAATATTTATTAGTTATAAATGTATATTATCATATTTTAATATTGAATTAATGTCAAAATATAAGTAGATTAATATAATGATAATTATATTTGTTTTAATTAGTTCTTTCAACATTAAAATAATGTTTAATGAAATTAATATACTCAAAATATAAAATATTATTATTTAAACTAATACCTTTATATAATTATTATATTTACAATATTTTTAAAAGATAAAGAAATACTTTTGTATCATTAAAATGAACATTTAATTAATATTTATTTGAATTAATTCATTGTTCCAAATTGTTGCATAGCAAGTGTATAATAAAATCCTTTCAATTCTATTAATTCTTGATGTGTTCCTTGTTCTACAATCTTTCCTCTCATAATAACACATATTTTATCTGCATTTTGAATAGTTGATAATCTATGTGCAATAATAATTGTTGTTCTTCCTTTTGATGCTTTGTCAAGTGCTTCTTGTACTATTTTTTCACTTTGTGTATCAAGTGCTGATGTAGCTTCATCAAGTAATAATACTTTTGGATTTCTAATTAATGCACGTGCAATAGCAATTCTTTGTTTTTGTCCTCCTGATAATTGACTTCCTCTATCACCTACCATTGTGTTATATCCTTCTGGCATTGTTGAAATGAAATCATGTGCATTTGCCATTTTAGCAGCAGTATAAATTTGTTCATTATTTACTTCAACACCTTTAGGAATACCTCTTTTAATATTATCAATAATACTTTCAGCAAATAATACTGGTTCTTGTCCAACTAATCCTATTTGATTTCTTAAGAACTGAATGTTTAAATCCTTTATATTATGTCCATCTAATAATACTTCCCCATTTGTTGGTTCATAAAATCTTTCAATTAATTGAATTGATGTTGATTTACCACATCCTGATACTCCAACTAATGCAATTGTTTTTCCTTGTTCTGCTTTAAATGAAATACCTTTTAATACTTCATTATCAACTCTTGTTGGATATCTGAAATGAACATTTTTGAACTCAATTTCACCTTTTATATCATTAATTATCTCATTATTTACTTCTTGTGATTCTATCTTAGGTATTCTATCAATAA